CAACGTCCTGTTAAGTAGAGGTTGCCCTAGTTTATTTTCATAATTCTACATCTTACATTAATTTAAAATAGTATTACAACTTAAGTGAATGAAGTAGCATAGTTGTTAATAATACATGGTGAGCAATAAAAAACCTCTCATCTCACTCATGAACTCATCAGAGGGATTAAACACAATGTTATCTCTCAGCCTCAAAATTTTACAATGTAAGCATATTGATACTCACCTGTGTTACACATCAGTGCATTATAGTGAAGATGAAGAATATGCATTTGAATTTAGGGCAAGTGATTTCCTTTAAAATATCCTATAAAGATGCATAGAAGTATTATCATAACAACACTATACTGGATATTTCAAATCATACATTTGTTGGAGTGCAAGATTTATAAGAAAGAGCAAAGATCAACAATAGAATGGAAAACTGTGGCAGGAATAAACTATGTATTAGTAGAAAAACTGAACAAAATTGAATTTCCCTGCTTCGTTAGGCATAGTTTAAGAAGCTGGTAGGTCTGAGATGGCATTACATGGAAACATCTCCTCTTGCACCCTAAGTGTAATTATAATCAGCAGAAGCATGAGTTATATTAGGCCTGAATTTTCTGCCTGGAAATTCTGCTTTTCTGCCCTTAGTTACTACACACTCAATATCATGTTCATAAATTCCCATTGTTATAAGTGCAGTTACAATATCTAACATAGCTCCATATATTGTTTTAGACATGTTTATTAAACTTCTCTGAAGAAAGTTACTTTAGAAAATAGGATTGCGTTCTAGGGGTGTGCAAATCTGTCAGAAGGTGCTTCGCAATGTGCAGAGGCAACTTATGAATCAGTAGCAAGTTTGGGGGAAAAAAACCCACAGCTGTTTTAAAGATTTGAAAGCAAGAGCTTCTTACGTACTCCTATGCACTGCAAAGCACCTCTTTCAAAGTATGTGCATAACTGCAATATCCTAGTTTACAAATTCCTAGTCTATCATGACTGAGCAGTACCATTCCACTCTGGGAAGAAAGATACTGTAAAAGATACTTTTGTGAAGTAGTTACACTTCACACCATATTGATTTTTACAGCTATATCTTGTTCTTTTCCCAAGGAAACTTCGAAGATTTGATAGAGTTCCCTTATTTTATTTCTTTAATATTGCAGCCCAGATCAGATGTCAAGGAAGTAGACTTAATATTTTTTTTCTTGCATAGAACTACATTATTTCTCTTGCTTTGATCTATGCAGCATTTGGGATGATTTCCAGATTAGGCAAATTATAGTTAATAATAATATTAGTATTAAATAAGAACTGTCTTCAAATTATGATTTCAGTGAATTTGTGAAGTAAGATACAAAAGCAGTCCCTGATTAGGGCAGACTACTTGACAAATATTAGCCCACTTGACAAATATTAACTAAACCATAAAACTTTTAAGCTACATATACAAAAATGTGGTGGGGGGGAGAGAAATGAACATTTGTTTTTCTACTCATCACCGCTGTATTTTTATCTACAAGAACTTGTACAATATTAGTCTATGAGGAATGTCTACTATTTACAGACCTTATCTGAGTATACTTTCTCTAAATGCCTTTATTCACTGGATAAGAATGCTGAGATGCAGAGAAATGAAAAAAAAATTATAATAGAGAATATATAAATTATGAGATATAGCACAATGGATATTGGAAGGCTGTACCTGATTCAGTAATATTCTCCCAAAGTTTCAGAGGTCTGAAACTGAATTATCACCAGAACCTCTGAAGAACTGCTTAATACACAGGAATTGGATAACTGCCTGATGTCAGCAATACAGACTTCAACTGAATGAAGGTAATTTACTGTACAATAAAAATAGTGTCTCAGTTGGGCTGACCCTTGATGACTCCATGACACATCATTGCCTCCTCTTTACGGATTAAAAGTTAATCTTAATTCCAAATAGAGATACTTTCAAACAGTGCTTCTCAACATATGGGGTAATGTATTTATTTATTTGCTCCCTAGAAGGCTTGCCCATTCCCAAAATGGCTTCCAAACAGGGCTGCTAAACTGGCTGTAAGACCATGGAAGAATACCTGATGGCAGCAAAGAGCTACAGAAAACTTACTGTGTGTTAATATCTAGTTGCACCTACTTCTGCAGCCCAGATCTGGTAGCCCCAAATATGACAAGTTACAAAAGACTTTATTCCCATGTTGAGTAAGGTTAAAAGTAAAGTAATTTGCCAAAGAATCTAAGTAAAGGGCAGAAGCATAGTCAGAATTAAAAAAGCACTCAAAATCACTCTTTTCAATTAAGTTTTCAAATCCAATTTATATTTCATAGAAGTTTAATTTATGAGGCTCAGAAATGCTTAATTTAAATAAGAAACTGTGAAAAAAAGCACAAAAGTAGGCTGAACCCCAATTCCAAATTTTCTCCTACAATTCTCCATTTTCTCCTACAAAGTAGAAAAAATTCCTCATACCTCAGAATACAAAACCATAACAAATATACAGTATACAGTTACAAAATCCAAAAATACATGCTACTATAAGGAAGTACAACCTAGAGGATCCTCTTCCAGCTTCCTGGGCACTCTGTACATATGCCTCTAGCCCCCCCCCCCTTTATAATAGCATGCTTCAAACACGAAGCACTGTAATTTCTAAGAATGTCTCTGGTATCCAAGTATTTAATGTAAATAAAAATCAGTGTTTGTCTAATGAAACAAAAATCTAAAAAAACCCTTAAAACAAAAACAAAACAAGAGGTTCTAAGAGTCTTATAGAAATGATCCATGATAGTAAGGACCTAAGACACTCTAATCCTTTTGTGTTTATTCATGCATGATAACGCAAGCCATGAATTAGCAAACATGAATGTCCCAAAGGCTCATGTATTCCTTCACCTCTTAAATTCTGGTTTCTTCCTAACTATATCTCCAACCTCCAGCTTTAAAGCATGGATTGCCATGGGTTTCTGGTAATCAAGATCAACTTAGGAAATAGAAGAGAGAATCCTCATAGGAGTGGAGGAGAAGGAAGGCTCACACAAGTTCTCAAAAAACTCTGTCAAGCCAGAATTCAACATTTGGCCCCAAGCAAGCTGTGGCATTACTGTATGATATAGATGAGACTGAATCACTCTTTCTGTCAACATGTATTATAAACTAAAATTTAAAATTATAGTTAAAAGAATGAATGTTTTAGCCTATTACAACTTGTACAGTTGTTTAACTAAAAAGTATGTTTCAACTTAATTTATGTTTCACCCTTAAATTAGTAGATTTTGTATTAAATAAATTATTCGGCCTCAATTACAAAATTCTTTTTAATACTGATTCCCAGTGACATGACACATTCACCTTCTTCCTGGTCAGAATGTAGCATTAAATTTATACAGACTTAGGAGGAAGAGGGTCTTTCATATTATCAATATGGTAATCAAGTTCCATTGCCAACAGACCTAAGTCTTTTCATGCACCTATCCTTAGGTTTGTAATGGAGGTGAAGGGAACAAAAGTGACACTTAGTAAAAGGACTAGAGCACCAGGGACTACTGGTGTTTTAGCTGCTAATTTCTAAATCCAAATAGCTCTAGACTAAAGAAAATATAAAATATGTACCAGAACCACAGGCTTAAACTTGAAAACAGAAACAAAGTTCAATCCTCAGTTCTGCAAATATTCTTAGTGAAGTTCAAAATAATTATTTCAAAGGAATAATTATTTTTTTTAAATTAAGATGTGTATAAAGTACCAGAAAATTAGAAACAGAACATTAGAAGATTATAAAACGAGTGAATCTTAGAAAGGTAGCTGTAAAATAACGAGACAGTCCATTCCTTCATAAAAGAAGAGGTGGAGGGAATGCAATCACATTTGCAGAAATCACAAAATTGGATGGGAAACCTAATACTTGGAAGAATTCTGCCTAGTCTCCAATCTTCCATTTTGGGGAAAGTTTCTCAAGAAATTAGTGGAAATCAGCTCCAGAATTCAGTTTTGACATAGAAAAGAAACAATACTGTTTGCTCTCTTTGTGACTTTTGGTGGAACTTGGATGGGTCGAGTGCCCCCTCCTAGTCTTTTTAGACTTCTTGGTGGTGTTCAATATCACTGATATTGAATGCAGGGGAGCCAATTCTTAGATGGTCACAAGAAAACAGCCTAATACCAGATTAAGCCATTAACAAAGCAAGAAACAAATGGAAACCATCTGTCCTGCCCAAAGGAGATTGGCTTCCAGCCCATTACAGCACATGGGAATAGAAAGAGGTGCAAGAATTTGAACTTTGAATTCACTATAAACAGGTCTTGCAAACAGATAATCAATGCTTTCAACTCTGTGTTGCCAGCTGCTGGTGTTCAAATAATAATCTACTACCTGAAAGCTCTCTCAGACAAATCAGTAGATCAATGTTAACAGCACCATTTATATAAGAAAGAATGCAACTAGAGCACATGGACATTCATATATCATAGGAGTGTACAACTATTAATTAGCTTCTTTTACTTTTTAAAAAAGAAGTTGGCTTCCAAAGGTCATAAGTTGGTGGGTACAGTTGAATTTTTTAGCTAATTTTTAGACATCTGTTCATGTTTTTTAGGAAAGGAGAATCAGTGGCAATAGCCTAGCACAGGTCTAAAGATTAGCATTTCATGTTATGTTAATGAACAGAAAAACAAAACACGCCATTGAAAACTGTTGTTTTGCTTCCATATCTCAGTCATGGGATCTTCAGAGGCTGTAAAAATATAACTGGAGCCATACAAAGTGCGTGCCCTGCCCTCTCAAGAGAAAAATACATATCCACCCCCATGACTTTCACACTAAGTCTTTATGTAGACACAGAATGATAGCAAAGTCACAGATTATGTATGTTGAGTTAAAGTAAAATTCTTATAAAGAATGTTTCATTTCTGATCTTTGCTCATCATAATTAGAAGATAATGAAGTTTTCCAGTAGATATAACTTATTTTAATTGTTATTAAAAGAGGAGGAAACGTGTGCATGCTCACCATATCACGCTGAACAATCTTCTTCAGAATTTTCTGCTTGGTTTTCAAATATATCTGTACACCATCTGTTCTTCTCACCTGCAGGAAGAAGATAATGAATATTTTCTTTTTAACCTTATTTTCTTATTTTTTAATACCTTGTAAAGGAACAAAGCATATCGTTAAATACTGACTCATGGAATTATTTTTCTTCATTTATTTATAGTTAATGTATCTGAGTAAAAATTCTCCCATAGCTTTTAAGAATTTTTTAAGTGACTCACAATTTCATACTATGATACAGTTATACCATAACCATTTTTAAAATTATATTTCCATATTAAAGTATTATATTAATTATTAATAATAATATATTAAGTATATTAAAATTATTGTATTATATTAAATTACCATAAATGGTAAAAAAAAATCTGAACAAGAGTAAAACAGTAGATAAAATAGCACATAAAAATCTCAGAAAGACTTGTTTTATTAATCATGAAAAGCACTGAAAATGTATGTACAATTAGATTTTGCAGCTGTTACAACAAAAGAAATATTCTTTGGAGGTTTTGCCTGTTCTCTGCAATAGTTATCCTGAGATGTACTGAATATTTGCACAATCAGATCAAATACAATTATGTATTTTACTGAATGCTTAATCTTTTAAAAACCAGGTAGAATACTGCTGATTTGTTATATTTATCATTCTTTAGTATTGCTAATTTCTGGCTGCATTATAGACCAAGAGTTCCCCAACCGTGGTCTCTCACTACTGCAGATGGTCCTAGGGATAGAGGGAAACAATCCTACCTATATCTAAGTATTTAATGATACATTGATTGTGTGTAATTTTCTGTTCAAACATCTTTGTGTAATACAGTGTCCTCTGAATTTAAACAGTGGTGCTTTGGGGTGATGTGAACATCAACTATCTTTGTTTGAACATTCATCAATTAGAATGTGGGACTCTAAAAATGGATCAGTGTTTTTTAATGTTGGGAGTGCAATTCCCAGAATTCTCAGCCACCTTAATCAGTACCTAATTTGTACCTCACTATTTGTGGTACTCTTATTGCAGTACATTTAGATAGAATTGTTACCAACTTCCTTTATTAATAAGGTTTTTTTCTACATCATCTGTGTAACTCCTTTTTTTTTTTTTTTTTACTGGAGATTCACCTATTTTCTGCCAATGCATGTAATACATGAAATTAGTTATGGCTTAACAGTTTAACTATCCTGCTGAGCTCACAGAACAGTTTCTAAAAGCACATAAGGATCACATTCTGTCCATGAAAATGCGCAAGGCAATTTTCCAGCACGTACACCCTTGAATAGAATGATCAGTAATTTCCATAGCGCTTAGTTCCATGTAGGCATGCTTAATTGCCACACAAACTGATTCAGCACCACTTCTCCCCACAATTCTCTCCATGTTCATTAAATGCAACAAGACAAGAATTTCTATATATAATGCTTATGAATATTAAACAATTTTGAGTTGTTTCAAGTAAATGGCAATAATTTGTATGCAGGAATTATGATTTAGGCAGTAAAGACAAAAAACTGCCACAATATCAGATCACCTAAAAATACTGTGTTACTCATAAGAAAATGCTGTACCTTTTGAATGATGACTGACCCGCATTCAGTTTGCCACTACATTAAATGTTATCACTAAATAAACATTTTTCTAAGAACAATGTTTTTTTCTTTCCCTTTATACTTCTATCATCTGATATCTCTCAAGGTCACTGTCTTCGGTAACTTAATAAAAATTACATCATTCTCCTCTATCCATCTGTAGGAGAATTACATCATTGATCAATAATAATGGCCTATGCTTGCAATTACCATATTATTCATAATAAAAGAGCTACTTCCACTATTAAAAACAAGATACGTGGTTCACAAAAAAATCAATCTTCTTTCTCTTTTTAAAGATTTATTTTACCACAAGGCAAAATTTATTTTACACTCTGTGAATAAATAGGGAAATGAAAAGTAGACTACAGTTCTCTCAAAGCAAATAGCCTTTATCACGTTTAATGATCCCCAAGATGAGGCTTATTTAGACTCAGCTACCATACCACAGGTTTTTTTAATTGGGAGAAGTCCAGTCATAACTGTAAACTTTTCCCAAAAGATCTTCAGTTCTAGAGCCCACTAGATACTGTAAAGCATCATCTAAATCCATCCACATGAGCACTGTTCTTTTGCCCTGCTATACAGTATCATACTGAAGGGTCAATGTGTTAGGCTGGTATACAAACAAACTTCTCTGCCTATAACAAGTACCCAAAGATTAGCAAGATTTATCAATATGCTTCTCTAAGTAATTCTATGCTTACTCAAACTCACTGGTAGCTATCTTCAAACTGTTTACTAGGTAATGTAAAATAAACAGCATGATGATGTGGTGTTATAGTCTGCTGGTGGTGTTATAGGCTGGAGAAATCAGTGGTCCTACAAACGCTGCTGAACTACCCTAATCAGCATGCTGAAAGTTGCACTTTGGCATTACCCATAAGGCACAAGATTTTCCATCCCTTCCTTAGAAATGATATTTTATTTCAACCAAAATAAGTAGAATTAAATGACAGAAAAGTCTGATCTTGGGCTTTTTACATATTTTTCTATAATGCCACAGTTTCCCCATCAGCATTCTACTAAGAAACGTCGAATCTACTTCCCCAATTGTTCAACTGTTACCCTCTGGTGATCCTTCTCATGCGTCTCCTTTTAGCCTCTGAAAATCATTTCAAAAATACAGAAACTGCCCATAATGCATTCTGTCCTCAAAGAGAGAACTGCTTGCTTGATTTAGTGCTCTACAGGAGAAAAATGCCTGCCTCCAAAATGAAATTTTATAAAGCAGTGAAAAAGTCAAACATTACCAATTTAGAATATGAAATGTTAATTCCTGGAAGGACTGCATCATGTGCTAATCCTGCCCCTAAAGCATCTTGTGGTTGTTATGCATTGTGATCATCTACATCTGTCCTAGACAACCATCAACTAACTGTGGATCTGGCCATTAAATGACATTGTAGCTTTGTATTATAATCATGAGTTTTTTAAAAATGGGGCAGAAATGGGAAGTAATATACACTGTCATTTCTGAATATTTCACACAAATCCCCAAACTATTCTTTAAATTTTGGGAGCATCAAGAGGAGCTATATTCAAATTCTAAAACATATATTCCCAAAAAAATTCAAGTGCAAATTCACCATGAAAATTAAATGTAGAAACTATAACTTAAAACAAATCATATTGAAATAAAAGAAAATGCTGAGCCCTGATTAATATCAACAGTAGAAAATTAGTGTCAGGAATATCCCAAGGACTTTATTTTTGCCTATGAAGTCTTCTTTAAAAAATTAAAAACATTTTTCAAAATTGGAAAGCATTAAGGACAGTAAATTTGAATTCTGATAGGACTTAATTTATTTGTGCTTGCCTCTGGAAAGTAAATTTTTTACAATGTCCCTCCTTTCCTTATTTCATAGAAAGGAAAATACTGGGTGGGGAGAATCAAAGAAAAATTTGTAAATAAATGAGGGAAGAATTACAGTCATGTTAGACAGAAAATCAGAAAAGCAATTAGGGCACAAAAATAGAATGAGTACTGCATCAACTTCTGCTTATCCCTTACCAAAAGTAATTTTTCTGCTATATATTCTTTGAAGGGTCTGGTTCTTAATTTTCTACTCTGAAAATCTGTTTCAAAGCGTTTCAGAGAACTGTGAAGTTTAACACCATTCCACCTTTATTTATGCATTTATTTTTAATTATTATTGTACTTTTCTTGTTTCAGTTGTGAATTGTGCAGAGTTGTTGGAAGTTGGGTGGAATACAAATTTGACTAATAAATAAATAATTTAAAAAGAAAACCTTCAATATGCAGCTGGACATACCAATGGCTTAAATGAAAAGAAAAAAAAAAGTCCCCTTACGCTAAGTTTAGGAATTTTTTTTATATATATAATTTTTACTGAAAGAGAATTCTACACAAGATTAAAAAACTACAGAAACTTAAAAATAAAAATAGAAAAAAAGTAAATATAAAAGAATAAAATAAAAAGTGGTGGACAGCAAGAGAGAAAGAAAAAAGAGAGAGATCTAAAGAAGTGACTTCTGATCTTTATTGCAGCAGTTATAGACATGATAGTTACCATCTCCACCCTCCCAAATTACTATCGGTTCCCTTCTCCCCATAAACAGCCCTTTTTAATCAGTGAATCCTGAAATCACCAATTCATTTTTATCTATTTTCAGCAAAAAGTCCATAAAGGTTTCCAGTCTTTTATGAGGATTCTGAAAGTTCTCAAGTCCTCATGCAATGTGTAAGCCAATCAGTGACTTACAAAAATTCCCCTCTGTATTCATGAAAGTGACAGGAATTATTTTATCTTGAATTCTATCCAAATACTTTATAAGTTTGACAAAACAGACACATTACCAAAGTTCAATCCACAGGTATAGATTTAATTTAAACTTAAATCCTCTCATATTTTGGAATGGTATTGCAATTCACATACTATAGAAGCCTTTTCTTCAAAGTAATGCAATAAACACAGAAAACCCCTAGTAGTATACACATTTCGGATTAATTTCAAGTCACCTGCTGGCAAATCAATTTAACTTATTTACTACAGAATACTACAAATCAGAATGTTAAATTTGAAATATGTAAAATGTATATTTATATGTGCTTCCAGAAACTCACAGAACATACATAATTTATTAATTATTGGTAGGCTCTATACTTATCAATACAGTGGTGCTTAAAAATCAGTAAAGCCTTTTGAATTTTAAATATTTCTTTAAACAAATTAAACAAATCAGTCAAAAACATCAGACTTGTTCATTTATTATTTGAGGAAAATGATCCAAAGTTACTTATTTGTGTGTGGCAAAGATATATGAACCTTTGCTTTCAGTAACTGGGTGCCCCCCTTGGGCAACAATAACTGCAACTAAACTTTTCCAATAACTGTTGATCAGTCCTGCACATTGGCTTGGAGGAATTTTAGCCCATTCCTCCTTACAAAATAGCTTCAACTCAGGAACGTTGGTGGGCTTCCTTGCATGAACTGCCCACTTCAGGTCTTCCCACAACATTTCTATAGGACGAAGATCAGAGGCCATTCCAAAACATTAACTTTCTTCTCTAATTTTAACCATTCTTTGGTCATATGACTTGTGTGTTTTGGGTTGTTGTCTTACTGCATGACCCACTTTCTCTTAAGTTTTAGTTCACGGACAGATACCTTGACATTTTCCTGTAGAATTTGCTGGTATAATTCAGAATTCATAGTTACATCAATGATGGCAACCCATACTGGTCCTGAAGCAGCAAAGCAGGCTCAAACCATGATACTGCCATCATCACTTTTCATAGATGGGATAAAGTTCTTATGCTGGAATGCAGTGTTTGAAGTGTCGCCAAACAGAACACTTTTCATGCAAGCCAAAAAGTTCTATTTTGGTCTCATCCATCCACAGAACATTTTTCAAATAGCCTTCTGGCTTATCCATGTGGTCTTTGGCAAACTGGAGATGGGGAGCAATGTTCTTTTTGGAGAGTAATGGCTTTCTCCTTGCAACCTTGCCATGCACACCATTGTTATTTAGTGTTCTGATGGTGTTCTCATGAACACTGGCATTCATCAATGCAAGACAGGCCTTTAGTTCCTTAGATATTACCTGGGGTTCTTTGAGACCTTCTGGAGTATTGCACACCTTGTTCTTGGTGTGATCTTGGTAGGTAGACCACTCCTAGGGAAAATAACAATGGTGTTGAATTGCCTCCATATGTACACAAGTGGACTGGTGGTGTCTAAACTCTTTAGAAATAGTTTTGTATCCTTTTCTGGCCTGGTGAGCATCAACAACTATTCTTAGGAGGTCCTCAGAAATCTCCTTTGTTCGAGCCATGACACACTTCCACATATCTGTGTGAAGATCAGACTTTGATAGTGAACACCCAGAATTCTGTTCATTAAATCACACCTGATTATCATCCCATTGACTGAAACATCTGACTCCCCTTCAAATGTACTGATAATCCTAGAGGTTCACATCCTTTTGCCACACATAAATATGTAGCTTTGGATGATTTTCCTCAATAAATAAATGAACAAATATAATGTCTTTGATTCATTTAATTGGTTTCTCTTTATCTAGTTTTAGGACTTGTGTGAGAACAGATCACGTTTTAGGGCATATTTATACAGAAATATTGAAAATTCAAAAGTGTTCACAAACTTTTAAGTACCACTGTATATGGAACCTGATCCTTCAGGAGGAGGGCCACCCCATCCACAATTACAGCTGGAGATGGTAGACAGCTTCCCTTATAAATAGCAATTCTATGTTACTAGGGTTCCATTCAGCCTGTTTTCATCCTATCCAAGCTCCTGACATCAGTTCAAGACTTTAGTGGCATCTCTGGTTTGTTTGGTGGAGGTATAAAGCTGTGTACAATACCTCACTCTCTCATGACCTTTCTTAGCAATTTCCTGTAAATGCATGAAAAACAATCTAGCTTCTACTTCAGTACAGATAATAGATTTTCATCAAGGCACTACAGGTAGTCCTCGTTTAGCAACCACAATTGAGATGGGCAGCTCTGTTGTTAAGTAAAGCAGTCAATAAGTGGGAAATCACATTACTGCAATTGTGCTTAACTTTCCTCCACACTCCCACCTTTTGAAATGCTCATCCTGGTACTGGGATAATTAGGAAGAAAGGAATTAATGTTTGTATTTACATTCATTGGAGAGTGTGAGACTAGGCTGAAGCTGCCATAACCTAAAGATGAAGCAGGCACGTAAGCAGAAAGGACAAAAGCCAGGAAACCTATCTATGAGATCCCTTCAGGGAGGTAGATAAGAAGGAAGCAAGTCGTTGAGGAAAATTAAG